GTCACACTTTGAGGCCTTGCCTTTCTGATTAATATAAAAGACTGAATATCTTTTTACATGTTCTTTAACCGTTTTTCCTCTGGCTGCTGTTCGTATCCTTAACTCACTTTATACTGGTTGATTTTTAAAATAAGTTTAAGAAGTTTTTACATATTTAAGATGCTGGTATTTTGTCTACTATAATTGTACAAATAAAAAAAGTCCTAGTCTGGCTTGTCTCTCTCTCCGTGGTGTTTATGTAGTATCTTGATTTCCTATTGGTAAATTTTAAATATATATAATGATAACATTTATCATAGAGAATTTGTACCTGACCATGACATGTCTTGCTTCTTCTTTATTTCCCATTCCTCTCCCCTCCCTTCAACCCCTTCCCTCCTTATTTACAAAAGTTTTCTTGACATTTTTTTCTTTCTATTCTCTTTCTTTCTTATCCCTTCTTTCCTTTTTCCCTGCCTCCCTGTGTTCCTCTACTCATTGGAATATTTTATTCCTATTTCCCAATATCTATTATACATTTTGGTCTTATTTTGTAGAGTCTTGATTTCCTAATGGCTTAATAAGAGAAGTCCACAGTGGTGTCAGTAGACCCAAGGTTTGAAAATATTGTGACCAAGCATTAGGTGGAGACTGGGGCAAAAGAAGCTCGAGTTCTAGTCATCCTTGTCTGTACCTGAGGACCTCTGGAGAAGGCACATCATCTACAACTCGGGCTCCTCATCCATAAATAGGAGCATCAAATAGATCATCTCCTTGAGCACTTTTCCAAATATTTTCTACTACTATAAGTAAAGGTCTTATACACTAAGTAGGTAATGGCAGAGCCTGTGCTAAAGAGCCCAACTTCGTTAACTCAGGAAGTGATTGACCAACCTCTGCGTTGCTTCCCCTGAGCCCTCCACAGGCTGCTCACTATATCTTTTGTGCTCCCCGGCACTGCTCACCTGGCTGCAGTCATACTCATCACATTGTGCTGTTCCTGCTGGGTTTTCCGTCCACCTCTCTGACTAGATTACAAGCCTTTTCTAGGGAAGGTTGCCTTTAGCATTCCCCTGCACCTCTCATAACTCCTAAGTCAAGGTTAACCCTCAGTAAATGTCTGAGGAGTAAAGGTGGGAACGTGGGAGGAAAGGGAAAAGGCAGGGAAAGGAAAACCAAAGACCTAAACATCCACAGATAAACACCAGGGCACACCACAGAATTACTAAATCCATTACACATTGACCAAAAGGACCATCATTAAGTACTTTTTATAGCTTGTTTACAAATAGAGTTGTTTCTTAAGATCAGACAAGCAAATATTAGTGTGCTTAATAATGAAACCAATAATCTCTGACTCTTAATCTAATGTTCCACCTAAGAGGCCACAGTCTCAATATTTTAGCAAAAATAAAATTGAGTTTGAATTAAACCTATTTCCATCCTTTTTCTGCAACACAGATTTTTTTACTTATTATTTTTAACTTTCCCCTATGACATTTTCCAAAAGATTAAAAAGGGAGTCTCTAAGCTTTAAGACCTTTCATAATCATAATCTATGGAATAACAAAGATGGAAATACTTAAATAATTATATCTTAGCTATAATACAATTCCCTGCTTGCGGCAAACATAAGAAGAAACAAGATCCGTGTAATGAAATTACTCTTGTTGTCATGACAACAGAAAGAAGCAACAGGAGGAAAAATTTTAGCTGTTAAAAATGGTCTTTTACAAAGTGTGAGTCTACTTGGTCAGTACACAGTCCTTCATTTAGTTGCACCTTTACACAGCTTACTTCACCACTGCAAATGTAATCCAATTTTCTCAGCTGCACATTACCTTCTGGAAAGGCAAAACCAATTTTGAAGCAGGCTCTTTATTGTTTCCTGGGGGTAATACATTATCTGTCCATCTTGAAAAACTACCCAGTGTCTTCTCTCTCCCACTCTACTATATATTTTTTGCAATTTATTATGCCAGTGCCTCTGAGTTTGTTTTTATTATGACTATTAAGATTATTATTATTATGTGATAAAGACTAAGTGGATTACAAAAGCCAGACCAGGAATAAAATTAGAGTGTGGAAATGATCAGTGGCGTGGGGATAAACATGACAATGATATATCTGTTCTGCCTGTTCAGTTTAAGCCCCAAGAAACACCAGTTTCCAGATGTGCTACAAAATTGATAATCTCATGGATATGCATCTGATGCTAACCCAGAGTCAGCAAGTTGCTGACAAATGGGATCTTCCATTAGATAATTTTTCTGCAACAGTACTTCCCAAAGTGGAAGCCCCAAAGTGCATCAGGATCACCCAGCTCGCTTGTGTAAAATGCATAGTTTTATATTAAGTTCTCCTCCTGATTCACTGCATCAAAACACCTGGAGGGATCTGAATTACTAGTGTATATCATTGCTTTAGGTAGAAGTGTGACAAAGAAGACACTGGGGACAGTTCCCTCTGACAGTAACAAGAAGGGCAGAGGAGGTTGCATCCGCAAATAAAAGGGAAACAGATGAGCTAAAGATGAAACTTGCCTATTTCACAGTTTTCTTTAGGTTCACCTTGGTTTTGATTGCTGTAAATTTAAGGCAGACCAAAGTGTGCGCTAAAAAACACATGTTACATAATGTCAGTGTTTGTATCACAACCTCAAATGTGAACCTTCCTCAAAGGTTCTAGGGTGCCACCAGAAAAATCCAGAATGAGAGGATTTCAGACTTGTACCATAGTTTGATGAGCTTCTTTCTTTAACAACTGCCCCCCAAGAGGAGGGACCTTTTAACCCTGAAAGTTAAAAGAATTTTAAAAGACTTATGAACCAAATGCAATGTGTGGCTCTCATTTTGTATCCAATTTTAAAAATGAAACTAGAGAAAAATCAATTTCTGAAATAATTAATAAAATTCAAATGCTGAGTGCATATTTGGATAATTTTAAAGAAGAATTTTATTAAATGGGGCAATAACATGTTTATGTGAAAAAGCAGAAGCCTGGGTGGGGGGTTTGGCTCAGTGGTTTCACCACCTGTCTCGCAAGTGCAAGGGCCCGAGTTCGATCCCCGGTACCAAAAAAAAGCAGAAGCCTGATCTCTTAGAGATCTAGATTGAATTATGCAGATTAAATGTCATGATCCTCAGTGTGTACTCTAAAACAATCCAGTGAAGGAGTCACTGTGACTCTTTTTAGCAGAGGAGTGACAGATGGAGGTGGCCTCTGAGAGGGTACAGCCCAGGGGATAGGAAGACTGAATAGGGGCTGTCATGAGGGTCACGGGGATGAAGGACTGAGCTACGAGAGTGCCTTTGGGGGTAGAAGGAGGGCCTGGGCACAAGCAGTGTGAAGGTCTTAGAAGCAGCAGAACTACTAATTGAAGAAGTCAAAGAAGTAGGAATCAAGGATCACTCGTTTCAGGTTTAAGGGAATGGCTGCATGGCGAGACTATTCATCAAGCAAGGAATTCAGGATAAATTAAAGCCAAGAGTGTAGGCAGTGACAGATTTCATTTCAGACGTGTTGGGTTTCAAGCGCCAGTGGAACAGCCAGCGCTTAGGGAAGGGATCTGCACTAGGGGTATGGTTTTGGCAATTCTAGGCTGCAGCACAATTTCCATGGCAACACGTAGAGTGTAGGCTCCCTCCACGAGCACGCACTTCTGATCAAATTAATAAATTTCTCTGCACTATGTTAACATAAGAAAAGCAGTGGCTTGATCAGGGATAATAATGTAAGATAACTAAGTGGCCACACATGATGCCCATCCTGTTCCGTGTCCACTCAGTCTCTACTTTGTGCGATACATTTGTGGGTTTTGTTGCAGGATTTTCTTTTTCTTAATATAGGGGCTTTTGCTGGGGATTTAGCTCAGTGGTTCTGCCGCCTGCCTTGCAGCAAGCACAAGGTCCTGAGTTCAATCCCTGGTGCTAAATAAATTAATAAATAAAATTAATATAGGGGCTTTCAAGAGGGAATAAATGAAAATTGCATGTGAGAGATCATTTTACTTTTTTTATTTTGCCTTTTCCCCCCTCTCAATCTCTCCCATATTGCCTATGGTATTATAAAACTTTGTAAAATGACCTACCTTTAAAATAGCATGATAGAGCCGGGCGTGGTGGCGCACGCCTGTAATCCCAGCATTTGGGAGGCTGAGGCAGGAGGATCACTGCAAATTTGAGACTGGCCTGGGCTACATAGTGAGTTCCAGGTCAGTCTCACTACATAGTGAGACCCTGTCTCAAAAAACCAAAGAACAAACAAACAAAAAACCAGCATGATAGGAGTAAATCCTTGGGTTGACATGTGTGTTCCAAAGGAGGCTTGGTGCCATAAATTGGTTTATTCCCTGGAGCAAGGCAGAGAAGAACCATCAGCCCCTGCAGTGTCTGTTCCTAGGAAGCACCATGATTTGGTGGCAGTAGGAATATGAGACCATCTGTTAGGCTTTAATAAAATGTGGCCATAAGATTTTGGTTTGAAACACAGAACAATTTATACAACCAAACTTAAAGTTTGCCCAGGAATTAAAGGTCTTGTAGGGTATTGGTGGGAAGATTGGTATTTAAAAAATATATTTGTATCTGTTATACTTATATTCAAACAGGAAAAGACCATCGATATCATTTTTTCCCCCATGCTTTGGGCTCACACCCAAGATCTTGTATTGCCTGCTCTTCAATTCAGCCTGCTATTAGAAGGCTCCTTACCCAAGGCCAACTGGGTCAGAATTTTAAACTCTTAAAATTTTGTTTCAGGCTTTTTAATTTTTCCCTGGTGATTTCAATGTACAATCAAGGCTGAAACCCACTTTGGTTACAATACAAATTAGGAAATACAACGAGAGCATTTGGGTTATTTATTGTGAAAAGCAAAAGTCAGAAATCAAAGTTTTCCTGAGCCTCAGATGGCAGCTATGTTGTGTGTGTGCATTTGTGTCTGTGTGTGTCTGTAAACGTGTATGTGTGTGTTTGTGTGTATGTGTGGTTTGCTTGACTTCTCTCTGCTCTGCCATGCAGGTGACTGCTGTGCGAGTGTATGTGAACAGTTCCTCTGAGAACCTTGACTATCCAGTCCTCGTTGTGGTTCGTCAACAGAAAGAGGTGCTGTCTTGGCAGGTTCCTCTGCTCTTCCAAGGGTTGTAAGTAACCTTTTCCTAAACAGATTTACTACATCCAGTTTTCTTGAGTGTCCTAGACCATCCAGGCCTGGTAATGCTTGCCTGTATTCCTAGAACTCTGGGAAGCTGATACAGGAAAAAATATAAGTACCAGCCCATTCTATGCCACTTAGCAACTTAGTGAGATGCTGCCTCAAAATAAAAAGTAAAAAGGGGCTGTGGACAGAGCTCAATGCACAGCCCTAGGTTCAATCCCTGGTACTGGGGAAAAAAGTCCTAAACCATAATTCCGTACTTGGTCTTTTTCCTTAGTGAAAGGAAAAATTAGACATGGGAATGTTGAGATATGCATGTGAAGTGCAGACAGTTCTCATGGTGCATCCCCCGACCTATTAACTTCTGCTCAATTTCCATTTTCTTTGAATTTCAGAATGTTTACCATTTTAAAATCTACCATAATGTTCAGTAGTTCATGGTTGGATAATGAATTATCCAACAGCCACTCAAGGGGCTGGGTCCTTAGTCAACCTAAGTAAGCAACACCTCCCCCATGAAAATCTTCACCGTGTGTGCATCTTAATTCGACAATGTTTACAGAGCACTAGTAAGGGGTAGATGTTGAGGATACAGCAGTATAAAAAAAGTCCCCACCCTCATTGAGTTTATATTTTCTCAGGAGAGAAGTATACAAGATACCATCACATTGACAAGAAAAGGCCCAGAAGGCATATAGAAATGGGCATCTACTATGATATTACATCATTTTTAAAGGTTTGGGATTTTAGGATTGAAATAGCTTTGCCTTGGACCCTGGGATTTCTTTACTCTCTATTTTAGCACAAGTTTGAAGGGGAGAAAAATGAATTACTACCTAGTTGTTTTATGAAGACATAAAGGAGTGTAGACACTGCTTGGTCAGCACAGAACACTCTTCATGTCCCTGTCATTATATCACACACCGTGATGCCAACAATACTAGTTCTAGAGTTACTATCAGTAGGCCCAGTCTGAAATTGAAAACACAAAGACTTAAAAGTAAATTTGGAGAGAAGTATAATGAGGTAGGCTTCTTCTCCTGCTTGCTCACACAGTCTCTTTCTTGTTCCTGCCAATGTCACCCTCCTTTGGCTGCTACAGACACCAAAGGAGCTACAGCTACCAGGAAGTCAGCCGCACTTTATGTCCTTCAAAAGCAACCAATGAAACAGGACCCCTGAAGCAACTGATATTTGTAGATGTGGCATCCATGGCACCACTTGGTGCCCACTACAAACTGCTGGTCACCAAGATCAAGCACTTCCAGCTCCGGTAAGCAGACTTTTCTGTTTGCTTGTCAGCTTTTCCTGTGTTTGTGGATGCTGTGGTCAGTTTCTGTCCCTACACCTTAGCACTCTGCAAGGACATTGCTCATTTAGCATAATACTTCAGCATCTTCTAAACTCGAAGGCCCAGGGAGGTCTTACTCTATGCAAAAGGCAGGCAGCAGGGAACTGGCTCAGAGGGAAAGAGCAGTGGGCTTCTGTGCCAGTGTATTTGGAGGAGTCTGTATGAGGGCCTAGTCCTGTCTGCAATCCAGGAAAGAATCACTAATGAGTCATACCTTTTTAGGACTAATCACTGCCACACTCCTAAAGGAAATTTTTGAATTCATTTTAAGGAAGCCTTTAAACTATTTTTCATATCTTTATGGCTTTCTTGTTCTCTCCTTCCAGTTTAAGAATGTGGATAGAAATGTGTCTTTGTCCTTCTCTGCAGTGACCAGGCTTATTTTTGTCCTTGTTTTTAAATATAAGGCAACCCCAATGGGAAAAAAAAATCAGTGTAAATCTCTGACATTCACCAAAGCAACCCCTTAAATGGAAAATAAACACAACTTATTAACTATAGGAAGTATAAATTAAAATCATAATAAAATTCAATTTCAACTACTAAAGTTTAGGAAGGGAGGTAGAGCAGAAGTTATAAAGATAGGTATGAAGAAAACAAGGAAAATCATAATTTTAAAATTCATATTTAAGAAGCCTACAACCTCGGGACACAAAGTTACACAAGTTTCTCCATATCTATACTCCTTATGCCAGTGTTTGCAAACCACACATGTCATTAGCTTTTCTTTTATGGCAAAAGATGTTAATGCATGAGTTATTTTTTCTAAACTAAAACCTCAGTATTAAGGTTTACTTGCAGTGTTGACACTTTGCACTGAATAAATGTATTTTGGGTTGCAGTTTGGGCATTAATCTCTTCAAGGTTTGGTGTTGCTGCTTAGGCTTATTTATGCTTCTTTTCTTCCAGGCCAATCACATCCAAAATCTTTGAAGATACTATAAGTCTGTAAATTAGCCTAGTTGATAACGTAAAGGGCAGAAACCCAAATAATGTTTTTTTGAAAAACAAATCACCCATCTTGAAAAAAAATACAGTAGCTTCAACCTGTGTTTTTCTCCTGTAAAATGAGCCATTATCTTTCCATTTGTGGGAATTTGTGTCATTGCTTTTCTCCCATAAACCAAGCACAAACTTTATATAGATTCACAAATTTCACAGATTTCCACTGCCAAAAACATAAACATTCCCAACTCCAGACTGTAACCTCCTCTCTCCCATTCTATTTTTCGAGTGTGTACTTTTAATATTCTGCTTAATAAATCCCTTAATGCCTCTTAAACAGACACACACAAAGTGCTATCCATACGTTGAAAAGCCCCACAAGGCAGTGCCAGTCCCAGCACTACTGTGATGTTCATTCAATGTGATTCTACACAATAACAATGAACAAACTATTGCTGTAATTAACAACGTGGATAAATCCCAAAATGTTGAGCAAAAGTAGCCATCTAAAAGGAATATGTGCTATTTAATTTTGTTTATATAATGTTTTTAATAAGGCGAAGCTATTCCAGAATATTAAGAGACAACACAGCGATATCTGTGAGTAGGAAATAAGAAGTACATTATTCTGTTTACCTCATGGAAGCTCACTCAGATAGATGTTTATGACTTCTGTGCTTTTCTATATGTTTGTTATATTTAAACAAGAAGTTAATTGAAAAAATCAGAATACTTAAAATAGTATGTCATACCTTCTCAATTTATTTTTCTGATCAGTATGTTCTGTTCTGTGATAAAGCCCTCTTTAAATTTCCTGAGACAGTTTATAAAGAGGTCTGTAGCCAGCAGAGTTGCTAACAGGAGTCAAATATTTATCTTGGTCTTCTCTACACCCTTTGACATGACAGACACCCATAGAAACAGATGGGTAAATGGCTGCATGAATGCTCAGAAAGATGGAGAAGTCACAGTGATTAGTTCCAAGTCTCACCATTTGATTCTGGTACTGAAAAAGGTCATGTGATAATTTTAAAAGTCATGAACACTTCCCTCCTTCCTCTCCCTTCAAAAAACAATCAAGTAAGGGTACAAGATCCCAGTAATGAATATTAACTTTACTGTGTACTTAAAAAGTACCAATAAATTCAATAAGACAAAAAAATTAAAAAAGCAATCAGAAACATATTCTCTAGTAGATAAGATCCACCCAGATCAACTAAATCAGTGTCTCTAGTGCAGAGATTTGAGTACTAGTATTTCTTAAATTCCGAGTGATTCTAATATTTAGTCAGAGTTGAATATCACCATCCTAAGGTGTAAACATGACTCTTCAGTTTAATTTATTATTTTAAAATACATTTATTGTATTAAACCACATGAGAATCAATGTTTATACATTTGATGGTGGTGGTACCATATTATTTGAACAGAGTTCAGTTTTAATTCCAGTGAAGCATTGCCTTTGCTAAATGGTCTCCATGTCTTTAACCTGTCACTGTCACCTGGTGCTAGTGTACTTGAATTGTAGGGCTGGTTTTTTAGGAGATAATTGGACCCTTTCAAGAAGAGAATTCTGTAAAACTGGAGTCATAACCTTACAACTCTGTGTAAGTGTTAATGAAGGATCTCTGTCCATGCTGGTGAAACTGCAAATCTATTCTGTCACATTGTTTTCTGTTTCCACCACTTCTAATATGACTTAGCTTCAGCAAACAGACACTGAAAGCATTTCAAAATAGAAATCGTGACTAGGGCTTTTAGGCAACCAAGCTAAGCTTCAGAAACAATGGTAGCTGAAATATATACATCTCTTCCTCCTTGCTCTGCTGCTCCTTGCTTTCCAACAACTGTACTGATGACCCAGAAGTCCAGAGGATAATGATCACAGAGCAGAGCTGAGGACTGTAAGAGCCAGGCTCAAGGTATTAAGAGAAGCACTGAAGAATTAACTCAAAATTCCTAATATTGCAATTCCTATCATATATTTTCAAGGGGCAGACTGGAATGTATATGGGACACGTTCTGGAACCCTTTTTTTGTTTTTCTAAAACTAAATGTTTTAAGAATCAAAGGACTTTGGGAAATCTAATCCACCTTTCTCATTTTCACAGATGAGCCATCTGATGCTCAGAAATGAGAAGTGATTCGTCCCATCTCTTACTGCTAGGAAAGGACAAAGTCAAAATAAACTCACATTCAGTTCCAAGCTCTTCTCACAATAATGATATATTTCTACTTTCTGTTTAAAACTGTCCACCCTATTTTTATACTTCCTTAAATAAGTTCCTCAATCCCACAGAACATTTATTTATTTAAATCCAGCTTTAAAAATAAAACAACTCTGCCTTAAAGTGGTACTCCTTGCCATCCACCTACCCACTCTCCATACACATGTACAGCTCTGTCACTACTCATTTCCAGGAACTCTGTTCAGTGTGGCAAGAAGGTGTAGTTTCAAGCAGGGAACAGCAGGGGCTGTCAGAGCAGGGACATCTGATCATGGTGTGGGGGAAGCATAGAAGGGGTGTTCAGAAATTTATAGTTGTTTACATTATGATAGAGAATGGATTTGGACAAGCCTGGATGCACAGAAGGTAGAAGGCTGATGCAATGGTCAAAATAAAATAAAGTGAGAAAATGATATGAATAATTTAGAAAGTGAAATTGACAAGTTCAGCAAATGTGAAAGGAAGGAAATTAGGAGAACCAAGAATGACACTGTAGCTTATAAGGTGGTGGTATCACTAAGAAAAAGTGAGAATTCTGAGGAGGGGAAGAAGAGGTGATAATATCACTTTTGGACATATTGAATTTGGAGTACAGAAGTCTAGCAAAATGCCAGTGAAATGATAAAAAATGAACTCTGAGCTACTGCATACATAGAAATTCTGCAGAAAGGCTGCTCCACTAGTACCTAGGTACAGTTACAGGAGATAGGGCTGGAGAAGCAGGCTATACTCAATCTTCATCTGTATGATACTGGATGCTGGACCAGGGAGTTGGGACTCTACCTTCCAGGTTATGGGAGCCACTAAAGAATTTTACACGTCACAATAAAAAGAATAGATCATATTTTTAGAAGTGACTTTAGTGAGCGTGGAAGATGGTATTGGGGGAGAGGAAAGAGCAGAGGCATTCAGGCAAATAAAAGGTTATTTGAATGGAGAAAAAATTTTAAATGATTACAGCCATTATGAAAGCAACAAAGTTGTAAGGAAGAGTCATTCTACATGAGAATAATTCACAAATTCAACAAATAATGTGGCAGAATAAGAATGATAGTCCTGTGATAGTATGTGCAGCCTTGCAAGTAGTGATCTTAAGACTTTTTATTTTTATTTTTTTATTAGAGAAAATATGCAATGAGATAGCTCAGGTACCTTCCTATGAAAAGTAGATTTTTTTTTTTTTGTATCAGGGATTGAACTCGGGTCCTTGCACTTGCAAGGCAGGCCACTGAACCCCTGAGCTAAATCCCCAGCCTGAAAAGTAGATTTTTTGAAGAAACAGATAGTTGTTCATCTTACTAGGTAATCATCCCTTGGTATTTTAGGGAAGGTTACAGTAAAGATCTGTATTACTTCTTCTTTTTTTCTTATTGATGCTATCTTAGGCAAAAATGGTGCCTTGGGTGGTGGCAAAACCATCCAGGTTCCTTTGATACTGATGGAATGAGAAAGACATGGAAATCAATCATATGTGGAAAGTGGTTGAAAGGGAGGAGTCTGCAATGATGCTAGAAGTCTGGTGAGGATTATTGTACAAAAAGACATAATGGGTCAGGATCAGGAAGCGATGATACATTCCATTGTGAGTATGTGGAGTTTGAGGGGTTTGAGGGACAGTCAAGTGCAGAAGCCCAGTGGAGGGTCTCTCTTCTGTCCCTGGAGCAGAGGAGATGGACTTCAGCTGGACTTAGAGACTTAAGAGTCATCTACATTTCTGTAGTATCTATGGCAAATGAATCTATATGCACTGATGCATGTATGTGGCTAAAGAAGATGTGAAAATAGAGAAGATTCTCATTTAAGGGATGATTTGTGAAACAAGCCATCAGAAGAAGCTGAGTAGGAACAGCCAGGTGTGTTGGGGAAAACTCAGAAGAAACAAACGTATAGCAAGAGGAAGAAAGTGTTTCAAAAAGAAGTGATTGCCAGGCTGGGGGTTTAGCTCAGCGGCACCGTGCCTGCCTCACAAGCACAAGGTTCTGAGTTTGATCTCCAGTACTGAAAAAAAAAAAGTGATTGTCAAATGTCAAATGTCACAGATAGGTAAAGATAATTGTGGATTAAGCCACTGAATTTAGCAATTAGAAGGTGCTGTGGTTTGAATGTTTGTAAACTCCAAATTGATGTGTCCAAATCCTAAAACCCAAGGCAATGGTGTTAGCTTGTAAGGTTTTTGGGAGGTGAAGAGGTCACAAGGGTGGAGCCCTCACAAACGGCATGAATGTTCCTTTCAAAGAGACCCTTCACACTTTTCACTACAAAAATACACAGCAAGAAGCCTTAAGGACAACGGCTTCACCTGACACTAACCTGTGAGCACCTTGATCTTGGATTTCCCATTGCCCAGAGTTGTGAAAAGTAAATTTCTGTCCTTTAAAAGCACCCAGGGGGGCTGGATGTTTGCCTCAGTGGTAGAGCACTTGCCTAGTATGTGCAAGGCCCTTATGCAATTTCCAGCACTGCAAAAGCAAAGAAAAATATAAGCAGCAGCTGACAATATTTTATAAATGACAGAGTACAGAGGCAGATTAAATTCATAAGAGAGCTGGATATTTGTAGGAGCAAAGTCCCAGAGAAGGGTAGAAATGATGGAATTTAGCACATTAGTACAGAGTTCATACTCAGAGCAGGGGCGGGGGAAGGGCATAGGATTAGAGAGGATGAGAGGGCTGTGGGAAGGGTTAGGACGCTGAAGGGAGCCGCTGACAGATGGCAGTCAGGGGATGACAGGGAATGCTGTTCTACAGTCCATAGTCCAAAGGAATAACAGAGCCCCATTTCCTTCAATAAATAAAGTGGGACAAGCACGGTGCTCTGTGACCAGAGCTTGGTGGTAAAAGATGACTGAGATGCGTGGCCGTCACAGTCCCCCTGGGAGCTCAGCTCAACACTGCTGAACTTTTTCTGCCCCTGCTTCTCCTTCCCCTCATCCTTTCTTCCCATCTGTCTTTCCCTCTTTTATAAATGCTTCTTCTCTTCCTTGCTACAGCCTCTCTGCCTCTTGCTCTCATCTCCCTTATCTCACCCCTCTCTTGACTCCATGTTTCTTTTTCCTTCTCCCTCTTTTATAAATTGTCAAAACAAGGAAAATTGGACTTTAGTCTCTTACATTTACTGAGCACATATTTGTTTCCTGTATTTAAATTTTAAAGCAAATTAAAAAGCAATGCTTCTTTCTCGGAAACTAGAAGTACCTACCTATATGTTTCATTTACTTATTCTGCTGGTAATAACCCTTGATAAGATAAGCACCCTCCGCCTCTGTTAGGGACTGTGCGAGAAGCCGCAGATCAGTTCATCCCAACGGACACAATGCTTATGTTCCATATGTGGGTGACTCCATGACAAAGAGATGTTTTAGCCCTAAAGTCAAAAATATATATTCAAAATGTGTATGCATCATATTAGCAAATAAAATATAATGAACAAGAAAAACCCAAAAAGTGTACATTAATACCCATCAAGTCAGCATTACAGATGAAATTCAGTGATGGGGGAGGGTCATTAAAAAATCAAGTTTATGGCCAAAGTACACAAGTTGCTTCAGGAAATCCCATACTGTCAGGCTGCTAGCCAAGAAAATCATGTCCTCTTTGTTCCACTGACCCGGCAACAAGAGTATGGCCCTTGTAGCAGCAGGTGACACAACGTTCCCCTGAGTGCTGAAAGAGTACTACCAGGCCACCCACAGCATGGTGGGTTCTGATTCTGGCCAAGAACTCTCTGGAGCACACACACAACTGGGTTCAGCATTGACTTTGGATTCTTTAGGTGACCTAAAGACAGAAGTTTTCACTTACGCATTAGCCTAACAAATCCTCCAGATGGATGATGATTTCTGTTGAAAATGGATGTATAAAAATGGCATCCATTTCTGGGAACTAAATTCTGAGCCCATTTCAATGACAGCCTAAATTGTGACCATTACCTTTGTAAACAGTGCTCACGTTTCATGACTTATAAGTAACACCTCTAATTAGCTATGTCTTGCTTACATGTCTTAATATATCCTTTCTCGAGGCATTTTTAATTTTTGAAACTAATTATTTATTACAAAAGAAACATTGCAAGTAGAAAGTCTCTGGAGAGCACCAGAGGAAGAGGATGGAGAGGGATCTCAGAAGTTCCGGTTCATACTCCCTAAAAAGCTTGGAGGGGTACACGCTGGACAGAGGGATGCCACTCTTGAGGGAAGATGCTTCAGCAGCTGGGGGAATTGTGAGACAGGAGCCCTGTGTGAGTGATCATCTGTAAGGCTAATAGTGTGGCAAGAGCCAGAAAGAGCAAAAGGCCAAGGGCAGCTCTTACAAAGCTACAGAGAAGTTTGTCCTTGTCTCAGACTGTTTCGTCAACGTTCATTCCAGACAGCACTCAGTTCTCCAAGTTCCTGCTTCCTAACCTTTATGCCTGGATCACTGTTGTCTTAAATATCTAATACAGTTATTCACAGTAAATTACAAGTTTGAGAACAAATAACTCCATTATATTTTTTTGGTGGTGTTTGTTTTAAAAGTGAGCCTTACAAGGCCCTGCGCAAACTAGAGAGGGAAAAACCTTGTAGTGGGTGTGGCAGGCAATTGGCTAAATCCTTACGGGCAGAAAGAGCCTATTTCTATCCATAGGGACTGTCCTGTAGTGATTATCTATTCACTATGCTTTCTTTAAATGATCTTTTGAGACATGACTCAAAATTATTTATCCAAAACGACCCTCAAACTTGCATTTTCTTTTTTCTTTCACTTCTAATACCTGAACACCCTGTACTTGACTGTGAAATCTTAAGACAATTCAAAGGCAAAGTGTCCATAAAAGAAAGCAAAGTACTCACTCATGTGGGAATGACTTCATGAATATTTGAAGGTATAAAAACAATCTTTTCCCAAATTGGTCATTGTAGAGAGTTGACACTGCTGAGACCCCCATAGAGTTTTATCAATTTGATAGGATCAAACTCCCTTCACAAAGGGTAAATAAATCCGTCCTCCTTGCATCTACTTTAAGATGTCTTTCTTGTAAATAAATTTTGACTTGCTAACATATGCTTTTATAATCATATTTTCCCCTTTCCCTTCTCCTGTTTACATTTCGCAGGACAAATGTTGCCTTTCATTTTACTGCCAGCCCCTCTCAACCTCAGGTAAGTGGAGAGTTCCAGGAGTCATCAAGAGCCCTTGTATTGATGTTACCCACAGAAACCATGGATCAAGGAGAGTCAGCATGTGGTGTTGTCCTTGACCTTTTCCATTTTGAGATGTATTTGTACTCTGAATTGTTATTTGTGCCACTGGGATTTTGAACACATTTAATTTTATTGCTTTAATTGGCATGAAATGAGAGACATGATATTGGCTCTCTAGCATTCTTTGGTTCAGTTTTCATTGAGCACATCATGGCCCACTATGTCCCAAATACAGTGTGGAACTCTGTTAGGTGCTAGGGACACAACTTCTGTCAGTACAGGCCTGATAGGATGGAGTGGGGACAGGAATTAGAAGGTGGGTGTCAAACAGATACACAAATAATTGACCTAAAAATACAGTTAAAATAAGATAGATTTTAATTGCTACAATGTTATTGATGGGTTAAGTTAGTTTCTCCTGTTTTAAAGAAAGAACAGGAATGCTAACAAGCATTAGGAGAATTAGCTATTTTTTATGTGCTCTTCATTAAATCATATTCATAATCAGAAAACATACTTAACAATAAATGTTGATTACTTCAGGATATTTCTCTGGAGACATTACAGTTAGTTTTATTTTTTCTTTCATTGCTTCTCAAAGAAGGCTCTCTACAATAGCAAGTTTAAAACAGGTTTTTTCATTCATTAAGTTTACTGGTACATTTTAGGTATACAATATGATGGCATTCATCATTGGGAATTTGTACCTTTACATGATGTGTCTTGGTTAGTACTTTTTCCCCATTCCCCTGCCGTCCCTTCAACCCCTCCCCCCCTCCCTATTTACAGAGACTTTGTTTCCAGCTTTTCCTTTTATTGTATTTATTCATTTCTCTTCTTTCCTTTCCCTTATCCCTTCATGGTCCCCTTCGCCCTTGGACCTTTTTTTCCTATTTCACATTATCAATTATGTATTTTGGTCCTCATTTACACTTTTGGTTTCTCACACTAGGGAAACTATTTGGTATTTAGTCTTCGGTATTTACACATGTGTGTCCTATTTATTTCGCTTGAGTATGGCCTCCATGTGCATCCATTTAGCTATAAAGATCTCTAGTCTCTCCCTCTTCATGGTACTCCATTTTATTTAAAAACACACACACGCACACTTTATTTATCTAGTCACTAGGTGATGGGCAATTAGGCTGTTTCCAAGCTTTAGCTATTACAAACTGTGTCTCTATAAACATGGGTGCACATATATCACTGTGGTATGATTCTTTTCATTCTTTTGGGAAGATGCTGGGCAGGAGAACAGTTGAGTCACATGGAACCTTTAATCCTAGTTTTCTGAGGTTACTCCATACTGATTTCCACAGTGGTTACACCAGTCTGCACTCCCACCAACAGTGGAGAAGGCTTCCTTTTCCCTCACAACTTCACCAGCATTTGTTATTGGTTGATTTCTTGATTGCAGCCATTTTTTCTGGAGTGAGGTGGAATCTAATTTACATCTCCTGAATAACCAGTGATGCTGAATGTTTTTTCATATGTTTATGTGCTGTTTCTACTTCTTTGTCTGGGAAATACCTGTTCATTTCAGATGCCTATGGGGGTGGGGGGAATAGGGTCTTTAAAATCAGGGTAGGGAGTCTGATTTTTTTTAAGTTCTTCATATATTCTAGACAGTAGACTTTTGTCTTAGGAACAGCTGGTAAAAATTTTTTCCCACATTGTGGATTGTCTCTTCACCCTGTTGGTGGTTTCTCCTGCTGTGCAGAAGCTTTTTAATAAGATGAGATCCCAGTTGTTGAGTTTTTGTGCAAGTTCCTGTGCTGCTGAGATTTTGTTCATGAAGCCTTTTCCTACACCAATGTCTTCATGAATTCTACCTAACCTCTCTTCCACCTGGTTTAGTGTTTCTGTTTTAATATCTAGATTTTTTATTCATTAAGTTTATTGGTACATTTTAGATATACAAATGATGACATTCATCCTTGGGAATATGAACCTTTACATGGTATGTCTTAGTTCTTATTTTTACCCATCACCCTGTCCTACATTCAACCCCTCCACCCCTCCCTATTTACAAAGACTTTGTTTCTGTTTTTTTCCTTTTCTCATATTTATTCCTTTCCCTTCTTTCTTTTTCACTACCCCTCTCACTCCCCTCCCGCTTCCCCTTTGGACCTTTTCTTCCTATTTCACATTATCTATTATACATTTTGATCCTTATTCATACTTTCAGTTTCTCACACCAGATAAACTATTTGGTTTAACATTTAGATCTTTGATCCATTTTGATTTCAGTTTAGTAAGAGATATAGGTCTACTTTTAATCTTTGGCAAGTTGAAACCAATTTTTCCAGCACCATTTATTAAAGAGGCTATCTTTGGCTCCTTTGTTGAAGATGAGGAGGCTGAGTGTGTCTGGAGTTGTTTCTGTGTCTTCTAATCTGCTCCACTGATCCTCAGGTCTGTTTCTTTGCCAATACCATGCTGTTTTTATGACAGTAGCTTTGTAGTAATGTAAGAATGCAATGGTCCTGGGCCAGGGATTTAGTTCAGTGGTGCTGCTGCCTGCCCCAAAAGTACAAGGTCCTGAGTTCAATCCCTGATAGGAAAGAAAAAAAAAAAAAGAATGCAATGGTCCCTTTCAATGAAGTATCTGCAGACCATATATACTGCCACCCAGTGCAGAAGGGGGTGGCAGGTCAGAATCTGTTTCCCTTAACATGTATTAATCACTTAAATCAATTAATATTTAGAAAGCATTGGCTGTTAGGTGCAATGGGAGATACCTAGAGAAAGAGAAAATAACTTGTACTCTAAAGCGATAACAGACTATTGTCCTGCATAGAGCTGTAATAGATATATAGTGTGTGTTTCATGCACCATGCCATATAATAGAAGTGCTGGTAGTCTGGAAATTAGTAACAATTACATGTTATGGTCTCTGTTTATTATGAAAATTATTTAAATATTAAAGCATAAATAACCTCCAAACTGGAATGCAATACCCAAACTAGAATGAAATAAAATTAGAGCAAACTAAGAAGTAAAACACAGAGTCTTTGATAGTTACAAAGTCTTACTCACTCTTAACTGTTCCTACTTTGGCCTATACATTACATCCTTTTTGATTATGGGAAAGCTATTTTTTTCCTATAAACTTGCCTGTAAGTGCACATTCTCAGATAACCTATATCAATCATGTCTGCCTCTACTCCTGAGGATAGAAGCAGGTTGCCGCACTGACTGGTTTCAGAGAAAGTAAAGAGGGCTCCCAGGGTGATTTTTGGCCTGAACTCCAGTCATTGCTTTGGATTGTTTTTTGCTTCTTTCTGTAAAAGTGGATTAATAAGTAATATGTTTAAAGAAAATATTGATTTGGGATTTGTGGTAATTTATAGAAAATCAAAGTTAATCACATTTGGCCTATTGATAAGGATTGTGTCAGCTGCTTGCAGCAAGCCATTTACTATCGTATTTATCATCATTGCTATTAGTAGTCATAGTAATGTTCTTGAATATGGTCCCCCTGAGAACCAGCAACACCCCTTGGAAATTCTAGACTCCTCACCTCTTGAAGAGCCCTATATTATAAGCAATTGAACCAAGCTCTAATATGAAGCAGGTTCTTAGAGCTGTTGCCATCTGTTACAAGGCAGGAATAAATTTCTAAGCAGCAGCTCGAGATGATTTTTTCCCACCAAAAACCTTTAGATTATTGAAAAAATATTCTATTTTTATTAACCTAGTTCACAAAACAGGATTAATAAAGTGGATGTTAGAATAAAAACTTGAATTTTAATGTTTGCCTTCTTTAAAAGTGACAGATTTATGAAAGTCCTAGGATAGGAGACTGGTGTTGGTTGGTTTTCTCAAAAATCTTAATTATAAGTTTGACATCACATCTTGGCCAGTTATCATTACTGAGCATAATTTCCCTTTCCTCATCATTACTAACATGTTCAAAGTTTAAGAGTTAGCACATTTTGCCAGTGGATTAATAATCTAGCTAGGTAAATATTACAATAATCTCTTTCTATAAGAAATTTTTTTTCAATTCTGGTGATATTTCAAAAGTAACTTTAAAGATTTTTCAACCTGCCCCAAACTGTAAATATATTTCAGGAGCTGGCTGCAATCTAAATATCTTCTTAATATATTCCAACCAGGAAATAGATTCTCTAGCCAAAGGTCTAGGGCAAGGACTGGTCTAGTCCTAATTATTGTCTGTGGAAAGGCGGTTAAAATTCTTGAAGAACAAGCCTTTCTGCTTTTTCAAGGTAGAGCTTCAAATTTCACAATCACCACACAGCAATAATCTGGTCTCATTTTACATCCCATGTGTCCCTAACTCAAAGCGGGGAAGAAGACTTCTTTAGCAAGAAATGGAATGAAATATTGTAAAGTTTCCCTTTAAAAGACATGGTCATACCATAAAGTGAAATGGCTGCTTTGTCTTACTCTGTCTTCCTAATTTCTAGCACAGACTACTAGGGCAGAGCAGTTAATTGCCTAATATGTATGAGATGAATGACTGACTGAAATAACCAAAATTCAGTGAGATTTGTATCTGCACTTCTCACCTAACAGTAGAAAAAGCAATCCTATTCATGTGAAAATGGTTTGAGTTTATAATGTCAAACATTTCTTATAATTAAAAAAATTATGTCTTTCTTTTTCTTATTCTCAGTTTTTTCTATACAAATTTCCCAAAGATGTGGACTCAGTCGTCATTAAAGTGGTGTCTGAAATGGCTTATCCATGCTCCGTTGTCTCAGTCCAGAACATCATGGTAAGTCCTGATATTGTCAACCTTCTAATAAGGAGTAGTGTATTATCCCAGAGTAAATGAAAGGGAGGCGTGTCATCCTTTGTACCATGTGTCTCTCCCAAAGCTGCTAAATAATAATAGTATCTTGTGCATCTGAGTGGGTAGTTCATGTTTGCAGAATGTCTTAGACAAAGAATAGTTGACCTCTTACCAAAATAAAGAAAAGAAGGAAGTAAGCAAGGGAAGAAGGGAAGGAGAGAAGATAGATCATGAGAAAGAAAACCAAGCTATGGATTCCACAAGAAAAATAGAAACCTACTGTTTGTTCTGCTTTAAAACTTCTATTACAACACTAGGTTCTTTATGTCTTGCCAGGTGTTAACAACAAATGGGAAGGATGTTATACACTTAATGACCATCTTTTCATAGTTCTCTTCAATATAGAGTGACTTTGACTTTAGAGGACAAGGTACCAAGTTCTAGGAGGACTATTTCATGAATGTTCTGGGTAGAGGGGACTTTCCATGGTTTCTGGTTTAGTAAGGACTCCCTTGCTCTGTGTTGCACAGATCTAGGTAGACAGGCCCAGACAGAGATTGCATGTGATGTGACATTAGTAATGCTTTCCTTTTTCTCCCTCATGCATGCTGCAGTGCCCAGTGTATGATCTTGACCACAATGTGGAATTTAATGGTGTCTATCAGTCCATGACCAAGAAAGCTGCCATCACACTGCAGGTAAGACATGGATTCTGTGGTCACTATTGTCAATGACAATGCCAAAAGAGATGGGCATCTACTATGTACCTTGTTTCCATTGTGATGGTTAAAAATTAAGATTTCTGTGCCTGAAATCAAAGCTTGGGTGATGGACAACAATACTGTTCTGCCAGGTACTCTTTTCCCCATGGGGAGTCTTGGAAATACATGATACAGCAGGACATCTATTTGACAGTTTCCTTAGAGATATATGAGCAGAAAATTCCAGCCTACTCAGTAGAGGGTACCATGGTAGGGTGAAATTTATGAGATCTACTTAAAGCAGTTAAATGTATCTAATAATTTTTACCAGTCACAGTTAACAAAAGATGGCTTCAACTCTGGACAGATCAACAGGTTCAAACTGATATCGATCATATTTGGTAATTAAATAGCAAAAATCTACCTACAATATCTTAGCATATTTTCACAGACTCTATTCTTTGGGGTGGTACTTTAGAAACGTGACTTTATCTGTACTCTATGATAAGCTGATATTACTGATTGAATAACAAGCAAAAATTGAAGAGAAATTAATTATAATCTCAACCTAAATCACACCTAATGAAAACTTCTAGCAGTCAAACCAATTTCAAGGATCTCAGATTTGATGTCCCAAATGCTTTTGTTTTTAGTATTTATTTTTTCCTTCACATCTTAGCATTATGAAGTTCCAAATAAAAAAGGAGAGAGAAATAACTGTAATAGGGAACTTTAGATTTTACATCACACAGGGCATTATGTTAATGAAGGGCAAAGCATATCAGCGCAGTTCTATTTCAGCAATAAATTGTTACTTCTCTTTGGGTCCATGTTTCAGTTGTGGACCATTTTATCAGTAGGCTGAACATACCAGAAATTTGTGGACAATTTTTTTTGAAGTCAGGATTGTAAACCTATAATGTCCCTTAGTGGCTATTTTGTCAACTATGCTTCATTCCTGGACAAAGAAACTGGGATACAGATATATTTTCAAAAAATCAAAGCCGGGACCATGATTCAGGTCCTTGGCCTCCCTAACTGCATTATTTATTCAACTGCTGACTACATTACTTTCAGGAAAGTTATTTATAATTATATTTTTAAAATAAAAACAAAACAGTACATAAGTATTAATTATTAAATATAGGCTGTTGACATTATTGTTTATATGATGCCTGGTACAGTTCTAAGCACTCCTGGGAGGACAAAATAGATTTAACTCATAATGGTGTGTTTGTTTACTTTAATTTCTTGGATGTAACAATTATTGTGGACAAGCTAGAATAGATTATGAGTATGTGAAGTTCTTTTCTAAGGTGTTAGGAGGCAAGGGTAAGCTCTGCATTGCTTCTTTTTCCTTTCTATTTATCCCCAACCCCTTCGACTTTGTTTCTTCTGCTGCTGTCTTTCTTACCTGCATATCATGAGGTTGTTATATCTCACACAGAAGAAGGATTTTCCTGGAGAGCAGTTCTTCGTGGTGTTTGTGATAAAACCTGAAGACTATGCCTGTGGAGGATCTTTCTTCGTCCAGGGTAAGAGACAAGTAGGGATACATGAAAGGGAAGCCAAATGCTCTTCTCTAGTTCAGAGTAAGTGAGCGTCCATCAGCAGGAATGTAACAGAGCAGTCTGAAAGACACTTAAAAGAATGAAAAGTCGAAAATAATAGATCTAAAGGTATTCTTCATACTACAAAGTGGTAGTACAGTTCAACTGTTTTGAAGTCTTATACTTCCTCCTACTACAAAAAGTAAATTCACACAATCTGCTTTTCACTCAACAAATGCTTGCTCCCTAGAAGTAAAGATCTGTCTCACACAGTGGGTCAAGGTCCATTTTCTTTTTTTTTTTTTTTTAGGAAGAAATAGGTTTAATATAAAATGATCACTTAAGTCACATGCATCATGATATTCATATATATATATATGTATATATATATATATACTTTCTTTTATAAAAGATAAGATAACATCTTAGCAAGCAATATCATCTACACATCTATAGAACAAGAAAAGTACAGGTATTGCAAGTAAGTTTTAATATAATTCCAAGTAATATACTATTGATGAAATAGAACATAGATGAAGCTTCTTCACTGGGTTTCATTATAATTTCTTAGCTAAGCACAAGCAGCCTCTGATGGCCAATTTCTCCCCTCATTCCCCCTCCTGTCTTGGGAAACATCAATGCTATCCCTAGCCTCTTCGTCCAGGAGGACTCCAAACCCCCCCATTGTACCACCAGAAGTCGGAAAATGTAGAGGTGACTTGTACAGTGATCTACAAGAGAAGGGGAAGAAAAGGGGAAAGTCACAAAAATTTGGAAATAAGGAAAGCTCTGAGTACAGAACTAGAAGACAGTGGGCTATTAAAAAAAAAGTCAAAACAATCTAAAGGAATTGAAGTACAGGACAGTGCCAGCTAAGATGCTAAAAATATAGCTCCCATGGTGCACGAGTTGTTGTCATACTGTTTTAAAATGTCGTATGTTAAAGACTCATTCTGAAGATCCTTTCTTAAAACAGAAAACTTAATGTCATTTTCTCTGCTACCTTCATTCATATTTTAGCAGGAAAAAAAATGCTTTTCTCTTAAAATCAAGCCAAGTGATATCACCCGAGCCTCAGAATTTCTGATCAAAAGAAAGATTGGAAAATTTGAAGCACAGAGCTTCTGGGGTGGGTGGAGGGAGATATGCCTTTTATATAGTGTTTCACCAGAAAGTTTAGATGGTAATAAGGTAACTGGGAAATAATCCACATTAAGAACTGAACCTTCCTAATCATGCCAAGAAAAGGAAAGATTTCTGCTTTTATCTCTTACAATGATTGGTTCACTAAAGAAAGCGAAGAGCTTAGTATGATAACAACAGTTAACTACACTATGGTTTAAATAAGCCTTTATGAGCTTCCCTAAGAATCTAATCATTTTGTATTGGGTTCCAAGCCACTATTTACAAGTGATCTTTGGGGGCCTGGATGCTTTTCAACTTTTTAAATTAAAACATCTAAGACAGGACAAATGTTCATGCATATGAAAATCTTTATAGCCTGGAAAAAAGAAATCCAAAACATGTCAAAACGTCCTTTTAAAAAAATCGTTGTTTATATTTTTACTATTAAATACATTTAGTATACTGAATAGTATGTATTAGCACTTTACTTTGTTCAAGACACATAAGTTAAATGAAAATTCTTGCTACTTTGTGGTTGATTAAAGTCAACAGATTTCATGGAGACCCATTATATTTTTTTTTCTATCAGTAGGCTCAGTTGGGAGTTTTATTTTTATATTTTATTTTTGAGGGGGTACGGGGGATCAAACTTGGGACCTTGCGCTTTCAAGGCAAGTGTGGTGCCACTGAGCTGAAACCCCAACCCTTCAATTGGGAGTTTTAAAAAAAGCCCAACATGGATTTCTTTCATATTGTGCTTATTTATGAAGCATAAAAGTGCAAGCATAAGTACAAGAAAATCTGCAGTTTTTCCTAATCTGGATAACAAGAATCATACTAGCAGTACTAGAAAGTATTTCACTCAAAAGGAAAACACTGGTCACCAATCTAAGTACTCTCTCTGAAGAATGATTTCCTTTATAAGCTAAGCTCTATCAGTATTAACGCATCCAATAACATCTAGAAGCTCGTGGATTGGGAATCCTTTTGTGAATGAGCAGGTCCAGGAGTAACCTAGTCTTGGTAAGTGAGCCTAGATGCTAATAGGTTGAACTTCAGCAAAACTTGACACTACAGTAGAAACTCAAATTTCAATTGTGTGTGTGTCTTTGTATCTAAGTGTGTGTGAGGTAAGGCCTTTTTGAGTGAAGGAAATAGCCCAAAAAGTGTAATTCTACATGTATTTATTTCCATCACTGCATATTAATTATGAAAGTTGAGGGCAGCTCATTGCTCTTCCCGAGAAGGCCCTATCAATCTGCATTATCAGTCTTCTTTGGGTAAAATAGAACAAATTTTCTGGCCATTCTAGTAGTTCATCACTTTTCCTACCCAAATGTACCTAACTTTGGGCAGGTGTTTGGTAGAGACAAATGTGGAAGTAGTAAGAAAATTAATGCAAACACATTAAAAACTCCATTAGGTGCAATGACAGTTTGGCTGTGACTCATGTCAGAATCAACCATGGTTTTTCTTTAGAATATTTACAGATTCTTATTTAAGGTGATTTAAAAACATAAACACTCAAATAAATGTTCACTGGTCTGCGTGTTTTTAAAAGATAATTGCTTGAAAGTAGAAAATGAAAGAATCACTTTATAAATCAAATGTCTTTAGACTATCTCAGGAGAGACCATTTCACTTTCTACAAAAACAGCTAACTGCTGAAACTGTACAATAAAAGGATTTAATAAACTGCATAATCATTTTTAACAATGAGCACAATGAGTATGTGAAATGTGGACTCCTGAGAGCACTGGAAGGTTCTACTCAAAACCCCTACTTCTGTGGGCTAAGAATATAGCTCAGTAGTAGAATGCTTGCGTAGAATTCAAGAGGCCATGGGCTCAATCCACTGCACCACAAAAACAAAACCTATTTCCATACAAAGTATTAAAAAGTCATGATCTGACGGTAGGAGAAGGCTCATGCAAGCAGTGCATTAGCACTCAACAAGAGTTCAAAAGAAAAAAAAACAAAAAACTAGGTCCTCACACATTTATAAAATTATTTATCTCGAGCAAAAATTACAATGTGAGCACAATAGGATCTTCACGTATATACTGAAGACCATGAGTGCCAGAGTCAGTCCAAAATACTACATCATAAGCTGTTTCAACGGGTAACATTTGCACACAAAGAAATAACTAGTGTTGGAGTTTATATATCATTTAATCTTCTAAAATAGTGATGCTATATACATACAACTACTGAAAATATGCTCACCTCTAACTAGTCAAATGTAAATGGAGAAAACATTTATTTGTACCATAGGAAATTGCTGTTTTGTAAATAGAGATTAAAATGTTGTACTTAAAAATGTTTTATTCAATTAAATTTACATCAGCATTTTTCTAAGATATTAAATATTTAATTTTCATAAAATTAATTTGTTATAGGATATCAATTATTAAAATCCTCCAGTCATTGCTTCTCACTTGGGAAGTGTGTTGTCTTTCTCTCTATGTCTCTCTCTCTCTTTCTCTGAGACAGGGTCTCTCTATGTAGTTCAAGCTGCTGCCTTGAACTCAATATGTAGTCCCAGCTGGCCTCAGCCTTGCAGCTATTCTCCTGCCTCAGCCTCCAGAGTGCTGAGATTACAGGCCTGTGCCCACCCCTCTGCGGTGTAATTTCTTAGAAAAGCTCCAAAGGATGAAAAAGCTGGTAGTCCGTTCTCTAAAGGTCCAGCGGCTATGAGGGATGTGACAGAATTTCACAGTGCAGGCTTTGTTTGAGTGGCTTGTGATACATGAGGTGAAGTATGGGTTTGCATTTACTAAGCAAAGGATGTTGGTGAGTGAAAACATACATACGCAATTTAAATTTCTTACCAACATGCTGCTGCTGTCATTGCTTCCCCCAGGTTTGCACTGTAGGAATTATCTCCTTAACAGATCATCATAGCCTTCAGAACTTTTGGCCACAGTGATTGCAGTGGTGCCTAATTAGAGAGCTTCACCAACATCTCTCCACTGTATAGCTTGCTGTGGACTGTCAGACAGTATCTTTCTTTTTGTTTATTTGGCCACAGGTTATAATCTGCTCTAAAAATGAGGCTTTGCTGTTTTGAGTCTTATTGAGCACACTTCTGTTGGTGCTCTCCAGTAGTGTAGTCCATTTTCAAGCATTCACCGGTAATAGGAGAAACTCTGAAGCCTGCAGCAAGGCCTTGAAAGTTAGCTTTCACTTTGGCTATCAATCGGCCTTTGTGTAAAATGGGATTTTGATCTTCTCTGGAGTTCACTTCAGAAATTCAGATCCACAGTCCAAGATTTTTCACACTACTATTGAGTAATTCTTTTGTTAGCAGAGCCTTCTGAGACTTTCCTCATTTTCAATGTGTACCAATTATAAATCATATGAATGAAAGTGTTCACAATTCTTCTAGTTATTTCTCTGGAAAACAGTAACAACTCAATAAAGAAAGATTAAGAGTATAATGTTATCATAATTCTTAATAGTACAACTAGAAACATGCTTTATCTCAACTTTACTTATTGTAGTCAATTTTCAACTGATCTAATATTAACAATCTCATGTGGTACAATCCACAAATTAATAAGCAAGTACTTACTGAAAATCTACTATATGCTATGATTTATCTCTATCTCATATCTATGTAGATATTCTGGAAGGATTAACCTGAAAGTATGAAAATCACTAATTTCAAACACCCTAGTTGAGGAGAAATCTGGTATTACACTGTATTATTATTTTTTAACCTGTTGAAATGTATGTTATCCCCCATGTTATAGACACAGGTATTATGTTTGGAAAACATATTAAATGCATTTGTGAAAAACTTTTTGAACTAAATATTTGATGTGCTATGGCCAAAGGTCAGTCCTTAAATATAAAATTTTAAATGATTCTAACTTTTAAAAGTTAACACTGTGCCGTAATTGTTATGTATTATTCTGAAGCTTCAAGAGGCTTTGTTTAGGATAAATAACTACTAAGATTTATTTTTAAATGTTTCTAAAGTACCCCCACAACATTATTCTCATTTATGATAGCAAACAAAGATGATACAAAATCTGAACTTGTAATGAGGTGGAATATTAATAAAAAACTAAAAAATAAAAATGTTTTTGTGAGCTGGGGATTTAGCTGAGTGGTTCCGCTGACTGCCTGGTGAGCACAAAGTCCCAAGTTCAATCCCTGGCACAAACAAACAAATAAATGAAATGTTTTTGTGTTATTTCTAAAAATAATGTAAAATACTAAAATTCTGTCAACAAACCTCTGTAATACACAGGCAGAAAAATGCCACTTGGGTTAATGCCTATGATCAAGCATCACTGCCCACAGCATCAGCTGGACGTCCCTGACAGCCATGCAGGTGTCACAGCCCCATACTGAGGACTCCTCTGCAGTCAGGAGGCCACAAGCTATCACCATCATTCCTGGCAGATCCAACAGAGCCACATCTGACAAGAGGCCTCACATAAGATGGCATCCTGGTCATCATTCATTTCATTTTTACAGATCCCGGGAGGGCACACTGGGTTGGAGATTGAGTGGCCAAGGCAGCTCAGGTGGAGAGAGGATTATTGCTTTTCTCAGTGGGGTATGTCAGCCCCACCTCTGGGTTGTGTGGCTTATCTGCGTCCCTTTAGCATAGCTGTTATTTGTAGCTTCTGCACTCCTTGAACAGCTGTTCTTTTGATTTACTTCATTGTTTCAATTAGCATTTTTAAATTCAATATACTCTGGTTCACTGTGTCATCCATATTTAAGTAAGGTGGATTAGCAGATTAATTTTGATTAGCATTTTGGGTTATTCCTTGACTAAAGTCTTGTTTTGGAGTTGGGGCTTTTGCTTGACCAAAAGTCTTTGGGGTGGGATGAAAGAATGTTAAGATTCTAATGGAGAAGCAAAGTTGGAATTATTTTCAGGAACATAATTCAGGGTTAGATACTTGGCTAGCATTCTGTGGAGGAATCTGACTGAAGTTTTCAGTAGGCTTTTGCCTAAAATTAATATCCTGCTTTAGTACATTATTATAAGATAAATTTCCAAAACTTGAATTATTATGTGGTCCAAAGTTAAAACATGAGGTTGATTAAAACCCATGCCCAATGGATTCTGAGGAAATAGGTGTGGCTGATTCTTGAGTAAGGGCCCCAGTACAGGGAAGACTTGCTTGGGGATGGAAGGGGCATACTGAATGTGCTGTGCCCTCCAAAGCCAGGATAACCAGGACCAACAAAAAGGTTTGATGAAGGCAGTGGCTTACAGGAAACAGTATTATATTTGTCATCAAATGGAGTAGCAGCCACTAGATGGTCAGAGTTTGGATTTGGTGGTGGACCATACTCAGACAACAGAAGAAAAGAAGGTCCCTGTATATGTGCCTTTCATTTTTTTTACTGGGGCTTCCTAGTTGTACACCTGGTCTCCCTGACCCATCCAGTCCACTTTCACCACCTTGGACTCTCTTCAGCAGGGTGGGCTCCTTCTCCTGTTCTGCGGACCGCTTGACCCAGTCAACTCCAGGAGGCCTAGAACTGGACATGGGCTGGGGCCCAGAGTATCTCAGGGCCAGGAGGTGGCAGAGGGATGTGGCCCAAGCCAGCGCCAGGGCCCAGGGGTGAGGCGGGTGTGAGCACAGCGCTGGGCAGCTGCCAACAGCCATTTTCTAAGTTCGATTTCCTAAGATAAAGCCACTTATTTTAATTAGTCACCGTTTCCACAAATATGTACAAGGAAAATGTAAAGCTCACCATTCCAGTTGCCAAAATGGTACCTCCCAAGACTATAAGAGAGCCGAGTGTGGTGATTTATCCCAGTAGTAAAATTATGTAAATTCTCATAATTATGGATGACTATCGAGTACTACTTTAGGAGTAGAATGGACTGTCAGTTGAAACACAGACCCTTTGTGGAAGATGCACTTGTCAACTACACAGAGAGCGTTTACCACTGAGTGTAACATGGCTCCTTGTTGTGTAGGTGAAATTTCTGCTAGTGTGCTCTTTACTCTCTGGAGTGTATAGCTCTAGAGTTTTATCAAAGTCCAACATTCTACAGGCCCTTTGATGACTATACGAGGAAATAAAACAAATTTCCACTGGCTGGGAAAAAATGCAAACTAAAGGAAGACACGGCTTTTTATTTTTATATCTGTTTCTTCAGATGTTAGTAGGTATCAGAGCAAGTCCTCTCCTCAGTGAAGAAGGGAGGCTGCAGTCTCATTTCACTGGCATCGGAATTACCAAAATGCACCCAAGTGAAGGCCAAAGTGAGCATCTGAACCCAACAGGATATTATATAGTTGGAAAGCTTGGAAGGGGAGATTTTTCTTCCAGTTCTTATTAAAATAAAATTCAGCAACCAGAATAATTCTGGACATTTTTGAACAGCTATTATCCAGAGAGTATAAGAACTGAGTATCTGATCCAATGTGCCTTGCACCTTGATTTTTGTTGTTGTTTGTTTTTATTTTTACCAGAAAATGAGAATCAGACCTGGAATCTGCAACGAGCAAAGAACCTTAAAGTAACCATCGTTCCTTCCATTAAAGGTCAGTGCTGCCTGTAGAGATTCCTATGCCAGGAAGGATTTCATATAATGCAATACTAATGTTATTCTCCCATCCTAAGAAAATTAAAATTTACCTAAGAGATAAAAAGAATTAGAATATTTTGTTGAATACCTCCCCAAAAAGGGGGGAACTCAATTCTGGATTTGGATATAGCAGTCCCTTCCCACCTTCCACTGGGCAGTCATTGCTATGAAAGGCAGCTGCTTATGGATTGAGTCTGGGAGACCTCCCTCAGCTTTGCTGCTCTGAACGAAAATTTCCTGGGACTTAAAAATGGGTGTGATGGAGAGGACTGTTTCATCCATTCTATGCCAAAGTCCTCTTTCTCCGAAGGACAGCCTGACCAAAGTTGTCTATCTTTCTCTCTCTCTCTTCAGGATCTGTTTATGTGAAATCCAGTCTTTTCAGTATCTTTATCTTCTTGTCCTTCTACGTGGGATGTCTGCTTGTTGTGTTTGTTCATTATGTGAGGTAAGTAAAAGTCCCAAGAACTGTGAACCCCCTTTGCCTGTCCCTGTAAATGATAAGAGGTAGGCTTGAGAGCTATTTTGACTCTGCTTAAAGCTACCTCTGCCTCTAACTCTGACCTTGGGCAAACTACTCAGCTTTCTGTGCTTCAGACTTCTCATCTGTAAAATAAGATAATAATTTACTTCATAGAGTAATACAACTTACAGTGCTTATGTAAATGTCATGCCTGTAACAAGTGCTGATATGGTGTTTGTTATTTTCATAGCTAAAGAAAACTCAACAAAAAGGCAACTTGTATAATTTTTAGACCAGAAAATACTCACTGTTGCCAGGTGTGGTGGCGCACGCCTGTAATCCCAGCTCTTGGGAGGCTGAGGTAGAAGAATCGCTGTGAGTTCGAGACCAGTCTGGGCTACATAGTGAGTTCCAGGTCAGTCTCAACTACATAGTGAGACCCTGTCTCAAAAAACAAAACAAAACAAAAAAAGAAAATACTCACTGTAAATCCTGTAGACTGTAGGAAATGATCAGTTCTTCTACACATGGAGATATAGGAACAGCTTTGAACATTCTGTCCAAAAAAAAGTAAATTTAATGCCTAAAATAAATCTTAAGGTACAATAAATAGCAAAATAATATGTTTTGATGCCATGTTACCAGGTGCTTTTCTACTTCTATAGCATTAATTTTCCAGTAAAATGCCCCATGGAGGGAAAATGGAGAAAATTATGCTATAATTTCATCAAGGAAATTTCCCTCCCCAAGAATTTGGACCCCCTAATAAAACAGCCAGTCTCTCCCTCTCTTTCTGCAGGGTTGACCCTTGAGAATTCCATTCTTTATTTTGCTGTCTGTGAGCTACAAAAGAGTGACAGGAGGTGTGTAATATACAAATGTTCTTTCTCCTCTTGAACATGTTAAGAAAACAAAGCCTAGGGTAGGGACAAGGGAAAAAAATGAGAACCAAGACCTGTCATGTAAAGGTACAAGATCCCAGTAATGAATGTAACTGTACTGTATACCTAGAATGTACCAATAAACTCAATAAAAAAGGAAAAGAAAAAAGAAAACAAAGCCAGCTTCTGTGGAAGGATCTCTCTACCACTTCAGTGATACTGTGATCTCCGTGATACAGACTTATCTCTGGCAAAAGAAAAAGAAAAACTTCCTTCTGTGACCTGTGTGAAGATTTTGCAATGAGATAGCTTCCTTCAAAATACTACTAGTCAAATCTGGGAGAATTTTAGCACCAAAATCATTAAAAGTAATGAATTATAAACCACTGGTAATGAAACAGTAATCCATGAGTCTGCATTAATAAAGAAAAGGAGGAAGGACCTAACCACTCCTGGCTATACATCTACTAAATTCAACAAATTTACTAAAACAGGTACCCATTAGAGAAAGGTGCCACTAGCAAAGACTGATAATAAAAGGAAGGACTTTTTCCATAGCAGAAGACCCAGAGCGGACTGGTAAATACATGGGGAGTCCTGGAGTTGGAAAATCATTTTGCAAATACCATAGTAAAGATGACATCGGGTTAAAATCGTCAGTGGAAGCTAAATCCATGGGGGCAAATCAAATGTGTATCAAATGTCTGTGTGGCCATAAAGTACATCGTCACATGTGGCTTAGTAGTTGTGAGAGAAAGATAATAATAACCGTATTAGTTACTCTCCCACTGCTAAGAAGAAATACCTGATACCCACAATTTTAAAAAGAAAAGTTTTTTGACTCATGATTTCAGACCCACGGTTGGCTGGCCCCATGGCCGGAGCATCATAGTGGAGGGTATAGCCAAAGAAAGCTGCTCTGTTCATGGCAGCCAGGAAGCAGAGCAGGGGAAGAGCACCTGAGAGGAAGAGATGGGGGACCGGATATAGGCCCCAAGGCCACATTGCTGTGGCCCATTCAGGCAGACTCCTAAGTGCACTTTACTAATTGTCTGGGTGGCTCACAAGTCATTCAAGTTGACAGTCCAGCTTAACTATAACAACACTTCTCCAGTAAGGAAACCAAACACATTGAGTGGGTGTTCACAATTAGTTTCACCAGATGGAAGGTGAACACTGTGTGACACCTTAAGAAGGATAAAACATTACTCATGCAGCATTCTAGAAATGTATTTAATCATGTGGAAAAATGAGGCCCGAAATGTGTCATAAAGGACAAAGAAAGCATATGGTGTTCCAGGTTAAAGGGGACTAAGGTTGTATGACAACTAGAGACAATGCCTGATCTCAGATTAGACCTTATATTAGAAGAAAAATATGCTATAAAGGACATTATTGGGCCAATTGACAAATTGAAATATGGAAAGTATGTTAGATAAGAGCATTGTTTCATTGTTAAATTTGCTGAATTTGATATTTGTAGTTATGTAAAAGAAAAAAATCTCTACTCTGGAAATATTTAGGCACAAAAGTCTACAATATTTACAACTTACTCTCAAATGATACAACAAAAATTTATAGACAGATAGATTATATGTATGTAAAAAAGAATGATAAAAAGTAGATGGAATAATAGGATAACAATAAAAAAATCTAGGTAAAGGATATATGAATGTCCTGTGTTCTTATTCTCAAAACTTCTTTGCAAATTTGAAATTATTTTCAAATGGAAAGTTAAAAATGGGAAATGGTATCACAGAGCAGTAATCCCAGCACTCAGGAGACTAAGGCAAGAGGACTGTGAGTTCTGTGTAGGCTGATCTACACAGTGAAACCCTGTCTCAAACAAAACATAACAAAACCTTCAGGGAACAGGCAAATTTTATACTGGAAAAGTATATATATTAAGTGATTATTAGGTCAATTACTTTTTATCAGATCATAGTCACTAACATTTAAGAAATACCTGCTCTGTGTGAAGCAGTGTGCTGAGCCCTCTAAATAGATTATCTCATCTGATGCTCCTAATGATGGGATGCTATTATTATCATGAGACAAGAAGAGTGAAGCACAGAGAGGTTAAACAATTTGACCAAGAATTCACAGCAAGCAAATGAAGGAGCCGGGCAGCCTGGCTCCTGACCCGCAAGTCATAGGCAGGTTGATCAAGAGGGATCTGGAGGGATCAGGGCCCATGAGGAAAGACAGTCTTGCCCAAGGATCCTTACCAAACATCTGGCATTCCAGCAAGGATATAATTTTTAAAAGGCCCACAAAAGGTTACGGTTTTTCCTTGAATGAGTTCCAATGACATGGAAAAATTTCTCTCTTCTGCCTCTCTTAAGAATACTGCACTCTTTTTTTGGGGGGGTACTGGGAATCGAACTTGGGATCTTGCACTTGCTAGGCAGTCGGCAGAACCACTGATCTAAATCCCTGGCCCCTTGCACTTTTGATGTTTTAGACTTTAGAAAACAGGATTACTTCTCATTATTCAGCTAGCATAGTCAACACAGAGACAAAAAATTAGTAGCTGATTATCAATCTCTCTGAAATTGTTATTCAGCCAACCGAAGTGAGTGCTGTTCTTGAAAGTTGTGGTTTAAAGCTCTGTTGAAACTTCTAGCTGCAAATTGTTTTGCTACAGTCAAATGCACAAGCATAGATTCTTTCTAAATATAGATGAATTGAAAATAGAAATCTGGAGACATAAGAACCACTTGGCACTCTAAATAGAGGATTAGACAGAGGAAAAATGCTAATTGGGGAACTTTTCTTTCATTGAACTAAGTGAAACAAAGCTTCCTGCAAAACTATCTAAAACCAGTTTTCTTGGCAAATACCATTTACTATACCTTATTCATAATCCACGGGGATTAATAATATATGCTATGCAATCAGGACAAAAAATATTGACAAGAAAAATGGGAGCTAAAAATTCAAAACCTGTTGTGCCATATTCACCCGAACCTAAGGACCATTCTTCTCCATTCCCCAGTTCTTTCAACATATATTTATTGAGTGCCTACTATGAATGTGCAGGCCCTGTGGCCAAGCACTGCACATGTACCTTGCAAGCATCATGCCAGACACTAAGTACAAATTGCCCAACCCTGAGTGTCCATCCTTCCCTTTAATTCTTATGTTCATTACCCATGGCCACAATGGGGCTTCTTGGCCATGAAAGGTCCAGTAGTATACAGCAATAGTTAAGGTTGCTCACAGATCTGTGGGTGAGCGGGATAGTTCTACAATCAGCTCGGAGGTCTCAGGCAGTTGTGGTCACAAAATGTGATCTGCTGGCAGGTTAGCTAGGAGCGGGGTCTTCTAGACTGGGGACAATTGTACTTGGTCTCTCTCATTGTCCAGAAGGTCAGCCTGGGACTACTGTATCTCATTGAGAGACAGCAGAAGAGTACAGGGCCACCTTAAGATGTAGATTCAGAAGCATGTCCCCTGCACTCTACTGGAGTAGGAATAGTCCTGAGGCCAGTCCAGGCTCTGGAGATAAAGATGTACTCTGTACCTTTTGATTGATGAGGTACAACCTTTTTGCAGTTATCTAGCACAGTTCTCATTTGCTGTTTTTTCATTTATTCACTGGATACTGCCTGTTTCACCCCAGCTTTGCAAATAACTTAACTCCTCAAATGAAGAATGTTGTTAGTTCCAAAAGCTACAGCAAACAGAGATAGAATCCTTTAATGCAAATACATAATACAAACACATCATCTCCTATAAGTCCATATAATTGCTTGCTGGTCCATATCACCAACATTGTCAAAGAACTCTGTCAGAGCCTCATTTGCCAGCTAGAGCAGTCAGGCCAAATCATCACTGCTCTCCTTCGTGATATGCCTTTGTTTACTGAACAAGTATTTAACTACCATTTCCTATGTATCAGGCCTTATCCTAGAGCTTTGATGGCGAACCTTTTGGAGACCCAAACTGAAATCCCAAACCCACTTATTTATCACAAAGTGCCAACACTGCAATTAAACCTGAATACTGAGGTTTTAGTTTAGAAAAAAACAACTGTTATTTGATGTTCAGATGCTGGTGCAACTTGGCTGAGGGGCCAACAGAGCAGGCTCTACACACCCACTGCTGCATATGTGCCATCGGTTTGCCTCTGCTGTCCTAGGGATTAGAGTTAACAGGACTAAACAAAAGAGTCTAGATCCCTGCCACATTATAGCTTTGTTGAAAAGGAGAGATTTTTAAAAATCATGATAGCAACTGGGGATAAAATCTCGGTGACGTGATAGAGAATTATTAGGTTGTGAACACCACTTTGGATTTGATTTGATCAGAAGAGAAGACCTCTCAGAACCAAGACCTGAATGGCAAGAAGGAGCCAGCCACATGTGGATCTGGGGAGAATGGCACTGCCAGAGAACAAAAGCAAAGGCCCCAAGGCAGGGATGAGTTTGATGTGTCTAGGAACAAAAGAGTGCTACAGGGAGTTCTTCCACAAACATTCCAGAAACAAGGTCCCCATCTGGAAGTAAATAAGAAATAAATTAAGAAAGATGTACCAAAGCATGAGCACTTTTAACCCTTCTGATCTTATAGCCAAGAAGAAATCTCAGTTTGGGAGAAGCAAGTAATTTACGTTTTACTTTTCGATAGACAATCCCAAATGTATATCTGGCTGGTTAAAAGCAGTTTTATTGAGAAAAGTAATGATCATAAAATTCACCCCTTTAAAATACACCATTCTGAGATTTCTAGTATAATCACAGTAACACAGTCATTACCACTGAATATCTAATTTCAGAGTATCTTTGTCACTCCAGAAAGAAACTCTGAATCTAGCAAGATCAGTGTACAAAAATCAGTTGTATTGTCATATACAAAAAATGGACAGTCCAAAAAAATGAAATATGAAAAATTCAATTCTTGCCTTTATTTTCTTCCTACATGGGCTTGTGCCACAATAATTTTCTAGCTCACACTTAGTTATTTGTTTGCCTTCTCCTTTTACTATAGTTTAACATTTTCAGGATGAAAATGTTTCCTTTCCAGTTTCAATTCTTCTCTAATATGACCTCTAGGCTTTGCATATAGTAGTTTCTACAAATTCTGTTAAATCCAAGAATACATTAAAAATGGTTGTCTAATATTTTAAAAAATCAATTCATAAAAGCATCAAAATTGGGCATGTTCGTGGATTCCGAGATTTTATGTTAAGATGGTGTGGTAGACAGAATAATGGCCTCCACACTATGTCCAGGTGTTAGTCTCCCAAATCTGTGAATGCATTACACTGCATGGCAAAGAGAACTTCAGGGTGTGATAAAATTATCTTGGATTCTCCACGTAAGCCCAGTGTAATCATCAGGATTCTCATGGCAGGGAGGCGAGAGGAGGAAGCAGGAGTAAATGTGACTATGGAGGCAGAGGTTGGAGTGATGTACTTGGAAATAGAGGACGGAGCCATGAGCCCAGGGATGTGGCTACTTCTGGATATTTGGAAAAGAAAAGAAATGGTTCCATACTTGGAGCCTCCAGAAGTAAGATAGCTCTGCTAACACCTTGACATTAGCCACACAGGGTACATTTTACTTTTCTGACATCCACTGCAAGATAATCAATGTGTGGCACTCTACACCATTAAATTTGTGATCATTTCTCCCAGCAGAAGTAGAAAATAATAATATGCATAGCAGTACTCCTTAAATTGGCACAATCCCAACCAAGGTCCCAGCTGGCTTTTATACGGAAATTGATAAACTGAATTCATTTGGAAATGCAAGGGACCCAAACTAGCCAAAATAATCTTGGCAAGTTGTGAAAATGGAGCAAAATTGGAGGATTTATACTTCCATATATCAACATGTATTGCAAAGTCAGAATAACCAAGACTTGGGGACTAAATAAAGACATAGATTCCAAAGAAATAGAATTGAGAGTAGTTCAGAAATAAACTTTTATATTTATGGTCAATCAGTTTTTGACAAAGATGCCAAGAAAATTCAATGAAGGGAAAATATTCTTTTCAGCCAGTGGTGTTGGGACAATTGGATATCTAAATGAAAAAGCATGACATAGCACCCCTACCTCATACCATATACAAAAGTTAACTTGAAATGAATCAGACCTAAATATAAAAAAGTATAAACCACATAAAGGAAAACAAAAGTGTGAATCCTTGTGACCTTGGAATGGTTTCCAAGACACTAGAGCCCTAACAACAAGAAAAATAGATAAATTAGACTTTATAAAAATGAAAACTTTTGGCCAAGCATGGTGGTGCACCTCTGTAATCCCAGCACTCAGGAGACTGGGACAGGAGGATCACTGTGAGTTTGAGCCAGCCTGAGCTACACAGTGAGACCCTGTCTAAGAAAGAGAGAGAGATCTAAAATAGAGATAGATGGGGGAGAACAAGAGAGAGGTGGAAAGAGAGAGAAAGAGAAAGAAAGAGAGAAAAAGAAAAATGAAAACTTTTGTGCTTTAAAAATATTATCAAGAAAGTGGTAACTCATAAAATGGGAGAAAATATTTATAAATCATATATCCAGGAAGAATATATCATGTAGACTGTATAAAAAATTCTTACAACTCAATGATAAAAATATATGCCTATTTAAAATTAGGTAAAGGAGCCAAATGTGTAATCCTAACTACTTGGGGAACAGAAGCAGGAGGATCACAAATTTGAGACCATCCTGGACAGCTGAGGGAAATTCTATGTCAAAATAAAAATAAATAACAAATATAAAGGAATGGAGTTATAGCTCAGCATTCCCTACATTCAGCCCCCAGTACAGGAAAACAAAAGCAAAGTATTTAAAGTAGATATTTCTCCAAGAAGATATGCAAATGGCCAGTAGGTATATGAAAAGTTACATACAGCATTCATCATTAAGTAAATGTAAATCAAAACTACAACGAGATGTTGTTCCCCTAAAGAAGGGTATGATGAAAAATAACAAGAGTTAGCAAGGATATAAAGAAATTGGAACCCTTATACCTTGCTAATTGAAATGTAGAATAATAGTCATTGCTATACAGCCTCTGTGGAAAATGGTTTGGGAGCAAAAGTTATACAGTTACCTCATATTCATAAATTCACTCTTCTGTTTATACTGAGAGAACTGAAAACATATATCCACAGAAAAACCTGTACACGAATGTTCATAGCTGTATTATTCATGATGGACAGCAGGTGTAAAAAAGAAAAACTCCTATCAAGTGAAAACAAATAGGTGACATGCTATGGTATGAATAAGCCTTGAAAACACTATGCTTAGTGAAAGAAGCCAGTAAAAAAATTCACACATAGTATGATTCTATTAATATGAGTGGTCCAGGATTGGCAAATTTATAAAGACAGAAAGTAGATTAGCAGTTGCCTGGGTCTGGAGCAAGAGGACAGTGAGGAGTTACTACTAATGGGCACAGGGTTTATTCTGGGAGTAATGAAAATGCTCTAAGATAAGATAGCAGTGATGGTTATACAACTTTCTAAATATACTAAAACTCACTGAAGTGTAGATTTATAGTATGTGAATTATATCTGCAAACTGATGACTGATGATGTAAATGAATGAATGATATAAATACCTGGGAATGAAATTGCTGGGTCATAAAATAACTCTACGTTTGACTTTTTGAGGAACTTTCCAGTTGTTCTCCAGAGTAACTGTTCCATTTTACATTTCTAACAGCAGTGGATCAGGGCTCTGATTTCTCCACGTCCCATGACCCATTTTTAAGGATTTTTCGCAGGAAAATCTACAGCAAAGTGTACAAGAAACAAATGTAAAATGCTGAGGCTTTTGCTGTCTTAGAAGCATGCGTCTTTGCTTATTTGCAGGTTTCATAGGAAATCCATCGATGGAAGCTTTGGTTCCAATGACGGTAAGAAAAATACCTGATTTTAATTCAGAATGAAGTTGAATAGTATAGCAACATCTTTTGGGTGATTCTTTTGTCTATCTGCCTTTTGCAGTTTGTAAACTCTCTGTTGATTTCTATGTCACAGAATAGTCTAGTCATCAGTCTTTCAAGGAAGGCAAAGCTAATGAAATTCCCCACCCTCCCATCCTAGGACTGGGGACTGAACCCAGGGCACTTCCCCACCCTCCCATCCTAGGACTGGGGACTGAACCCAGGGCACTTCCATTGAAGTATATTCTCAACTTTTTCTTTAATTTTGAGATAGGGCCTCACTAAGTCACTGTGTTGCCCATGTTGGGCTCAGACTTGTAACCCTCCTGCCTCAGCCTCCCAGAGTGCTGAGCTAAGAGGCCTGTATCACCATGTCCACCTACAACCAATTATATAGTTGATAATTATTGATTAAGTAACTCACATTAAGTACCTTTACTTGAAAGTATCCTTTGTAATCATTCACAGCCACTTGCCTACCATTCATCTTTTTTTTTAAGTTTAATATTTTCCAGGACATAACTTTCATAACTGAGTTATCCCAAAGCTGATTTGGGAACAATAGTAAGAATTTACTATATCAATCCTCAAACAGAATTTACTTTTCCTAAATTGAGACTTTTGTTTTTTGTTAGTTTGTTCAAGTGTCTACAAAACTGAAGTATTTGAGGCTAGTAAGCATAATGAACAAACAGTACAATAACTTTGGGGAGTGTAAAGGAATTAAATATCTTGTCATTTCAGTTTGCCCTTTCCTGTGCACTGAGAAAGGAAGAAAATCCCAAACTGGCATAGTTTGTTCAGCATTTATCAGCCATTTGTCACAGAATAAGAATTTGGAAAGGGGATGAGGAAGTAGGACTTGATAGTCACACATAGAAGATGTTTAGTTTTATGTTTTCAACGCTTAAATGAACCCACGGAATCTCAGATAGACACAAACTCACCAGGACCCTTACCCAGCAGGATATTTTTCTCCTTATTGAAAGTCCTGTGTTTTCTACATCTGTCTTCCTTACAGTCTGCAAGTTTTTCTTTTTTTTTTTTTTACTGAGTTCATTGGTACATTCTAGGTATACAGTACAGCTACATTCATTACTGGGACCTTGTACCTTTACATGACAGGTCTTGGTTCTCATTTTTTCCCCCTCCACATGGTTATTTTTCCAGCTGCCCAGGCACTTTGTTTTCATAAACATTCAACTGTCAATATAAGACTATAAAAGAGCACCCTCTCTTACGGGTTTGAAGTGTTACTTTTTCATTTATTTGTAATATGCTTCAGTGAATTTATCTTTCCTCTGGTTCTCATCTTTTTTTCCTGCAATGGTGTCTTAGTTACTTTTCTCTAATACCCAACACCTAAAGTTAGATGGGGAAGGTCTATTTAGCTCACAGTGTGTAGAGGGTTCAGTCCATAACTGGCTGGTTCCAAGGCAGAGTGACTTTGCAGAGGAGAAACAGTCATGGGGGCACAAGATAGCAAAAGCAACTAGTAATCTTAACAGTGTCTTTCTGCATCCTTTTATCTTATCCAGACTACTTAGGGTGGGCTGCACTCACATCCTTAATCCTAGTGCCCTTGAGCCTAGCATTGCACCATAAATCAATTCCAGCATCACACACTCTAGATACAGCCGCCTCTGAAAAAGTCCCACCTATGACCACATGAGGCTTTGTGAGAACGTCTAAACATAAGCCATAACAAATGCTCCCCAGGTTTTGCTATTATGGTAGTCCTAGCTGAACTTGGTCTAAATCCAATTGTGTAGATCCCATCAGCTGTCCTGTGAATGGGTGGCCATTGTTTTTCACTGTACAAGTGCTGTCATTTTATTATTGCAGTACTAATTAAAGGAATCCTATGTTCAGGAGGGCCTCTGAATATTAAAGCATAAGTGGACAGATTTGGGTCTTGAGATCATTGTCTAAAAGTGAGAGCCTTTAGAAGCAAGCAGAAATACATGAGTGATCAGAGAGAGTAAAGATACATATTAAGATTTATGTGATGCCAGTAACAATAGCCACAACAAAACATACCTTAAACACACTTAGAAATAAAGCTTGGAGCTGGGCATGGTGATGCATGCCTGTACTTGGGAGGCGGAGGCAGAAAGAGCAGCTCAAGTTTAAAGGCAGGCAGTTTGGACTAGCAAGAACCTGTCTCAACATACATACATGCATATTTAAATATAAATAAAGAGAATCTTATACCTGGAGGTTGAGCAGAGGAGTGAATTTCAGGATTGACTGAACCCAGTGGCTCTGCTCCATTTCCCTGCCATTACCTCAACTCTGTTTTGCTCCCAGGGCTGTGAGACGACTCAAGTCTCATACTCATACCTACTAACGTCAAAGAGTTGCTCAAAACTCTGCAGCAACCTCTCAGATTTCATTGGCCTAGAGTGGATCATATACTTATCAGTAAGCTAGTTAATGCAAAGTACTAAGTTTGCTTTTTTTTTTAGAATTAGAGAGGTCCTCTCCCTCTCTGGAACCAAGCTTTCTCAAAGCCTACATTATCGGCACTATGGGCCATAATTATGTTGTTGGGGGCTGTCATGTCCGTCCTGTGGGGGATTAACAGCATCTTTCGCATCTCCTCACTAGATTCCCGTAGTGCTCCTTGCCTAGTGACAACTGGAAGCATCTCTAGACACTGACAAATGTCCTTTGGGGACAAAACTGCCCTCTTCCTTCTCTCAGCTTACTAATCACTGGAACGGCTTGTGTCTCTATGTTTTTTTAAGCCTCCCATAGTCAAAGGTTGAACTTTTTAGAGGTAGCTAGAGTTAGAGTGTGACACTGAGATTGATTTATAATATAATATTGAGCTTATGGGCACTAAGATTAAAGGCATGAGATTATCTGTCTTAAATAGTCTAGCTAAAATATAAGAGATAAAGCCAGGCGTGGTGGCACACACCTGTAATCCCATCACTCGGGAGGCTGAGGCAGGAGGATCGATGTGAGTTTGAGACAACCCTGGGCTACATAGTGAGTTCCAGGTCAGTCTCAACTACACAGCGAGACACTGTCTCAAAAAACCTAAAAATAAATAAATTAATTAATTTAATTTAATTAAATATAAGAGATAAAAAGAGCTGTGGCCTCTTCCTGTCATTTTTATTACTTTTGCCCTCCATAAACTGTTTTTCTTTTGCAACACGGTCTGCCATGCCACCCTGTCTTGGAGCCAGCCAATTATTGGCTAAAACCTCTACAAATTGTGAACTAAATACACCTTTTCTCTTTTAACTTTGAATGTTGGGTACTTTGTCTCAACAACAAAGAAAGTAACTAAGATAGAATTTAGTACCAGACATGGGGTCCTTGTTGTAACTGTGCCTGACCATGTGGTGTAAACAGCTTTTAGAAGTGGCTTGTGAAAAAACTTTTAAAAGGTTTAGAGATGCCAGCTAAAAAAGTAGAGCTAAAATGCTGTAGGCTGTACTTGATGAGAGATTCTGATCAAAGCTAAGAATACTAGAATGCTGACAAAAATGATGCCAATAAAGATCAGGCTTGGGAGGTTTCTGCTGAAGAGCAAGACTCCAGATACTGTGTGTTATGCCTTGGCAGAAAGTTTGCCTGCATTTTGCTCATGTTCAGAGACTTTGTCTAAGACTAAGCTTAGGGGCAGCAGATTAATTATTCTTACAAAAAAAATTCCCAGCCGAGGCTGGACTCTAACTTGCGATCCTCTCACCTTGGTCTCCTGGAGTCCTGGGATTACAGGTCTGAACTCCCACGCCTGGCTGGAAGGACCATCTCATGTGATATAAATGGCTGGGCATGGAATTCTCCAGTCACCATTTCATGCTCTGTGTTAGTCCGAGGGAGACAAGGGAAAACTCTGTGCTGCACTCTATAAACATTTCTTCCATGGGCTATATCAGTGGGGAAGCCTAACGTTTCAAATCCTCGTGAAAGAATCTCTATGCAAAGTCAGTCAAAGTAAAGTCAGAGATGAGGGACTAGTGAAGCCTCCTTTACTGGTCTCAGGGGCCACAGGAGCTGCCACCAAGAGCCTGGGTTACCTTCTTAAGTGAGAAAGGCGATAAAGCCTGACAAGACTGTAGATTTAAGAACAAAATGACCATTAGTCCTTTTTCTGTTGCTATAACAAAACATCTGAGGCTGGGTAAAGAAAAGGGGTTTATTTAGCTCCCAATTTTAGAGACTGAAAGTCTAAGATTGAGTAGCCCTATCAGCTCAGCCTCTGGCGAGGGCTCCTCCGGCTGCTTTACAGCATAGTGAAGAAGTGGGAAGGGAAGATTTTAGCCATGTGCAGAAGGAGCCGCACTGCAGGACAGGAAGCCGAGAGGTGCTTACTTGCGAACTAATGGGAGTCCAGAGAGAATTACGTCAACCCCTTGCAAAGGCAGTGCCACATGACCCAGTGACCTTGTACTAAGGCCGCCACTTTAACATCACCACACTCGGACTGACCTTCAGCACAGGGACTTCTGATGAACACACTCAAGCCATCACACCAAGCAAATCCTTCCCTGGGTAGAGCCATTACTGTATCAGCCTCTTAACAAAGGGCAGAGTCTGATAGGGGTCCTAGTGCTGGCTCTCTACTCTTCTAGTTTGAAATTTCTTTGACTTTTCTTGCCCAGTTTTTTCTCCAAGAGTAATTTTACTTTTACGTCTTTGTGCAGAGATTGCTGGCTTTCTTCCCCTCCACCTCAACTTCTGAAATGAAACATCAGGCTTGTTGGGGTAGGTAGTCGATTGCCACAAAAGTACAGTTTCTCAGCAACTAGTTCATGTCATTTCTGACTCACTCTTCAATTTCCAAGCTCCTAAATCTTCACAGACAGAAGGGGTAGAACGGCTATAACTACAAAGTCCCTGACACAGCTAACATGCTCAGGATGACGTGAATTTCTTTCTCCTCACTTACAGCCCTCAGCATAAAAATCAAGCATGCCACATGCCCTGTTCTCTCAGTGAAGCAGACA